TTTCAATATTTTTTTTTCATATCACTGGGTAAGTTGGCACATAAACGTGCCAATCCCTTTAGGATTTGAATTGTACCTTAGGAGTCTTGCATAGGGATAAGGATTTCTTGCAGTTTACTTTTCAGCTCCTGAGTTTTAAATCTTGAGAGTGGGACGTAAAAAGTTGCACAAGAGTCTTTTAGTAAAAAGAGTCTTTTTAGTAAAAGAAAAAGGGGTTTACCTCCCAATAACTGCCTATAAAATGCTTGTTAGAAAAATATATACAGATTAGGAGTGGTATAAAAATATTAGTATGTTGCTAGATACATGGAGGCAGGCAACATATGAGATGCATTTCCTGTGGCCAATGGGAAATACATCTCATTTTTCTCCTCATGAAACCTTGCTATTTTTTTTTTTTACTGTTCTAAAATCATTGACCATTCACTGTTATGGATTGCCTAGCCTGTATATCGTTCCGTATGTTGTAACTATGGAATTGATTTTCACTGCCCGTCTCTTCGCTACTGTTTTCCTGCACTCCAATTTTCCTGTTTTCTTAGAGTACAAAGAGATGTTTATTGAGAACTGAGATTATTATCATTATTTTTACATAGTTAATAGGATGTTTTTCTTATTTTATTTACAAATTTCTGGATATACTACTTTTAAAACGAAATTAAAGCAAGTTAAAAAATCCAGTTAGAGCTTACACTTTTTATTATAGTCCATTAAATTCTTTAATAGTTATCCGTAGGCAGATTTTATTATGTTCAAACAAATGCGCTGAGGTTTTTTGATGTGCAAATGTTTTCTGCCGTTTGTTCCAGCTGCTGTGCAAAGTGCGAGTTACCGACGGGATCCGAAGTGCTTACCCGGTGGCGCACAGATGCTGACTCGTGTTACGGTGTAGCTTGACCCGATTTCGATTGTACGTGGAGGCGATCAGTCAGTGAAAGGCGAGGCGCTGCCGGGGAGATGTTGTGTGTCTCAGGACCGGGTGCGATGATGGCACTAGAGGTCACATTTTGCTCACTAATGAACCGTTCTCTTAGCGCTAGGTGATAGTGGAGTGCTGGTAGTGCAGTATTTCACGACGGTACAAAGCAGCGTTCTGTTTGGAAGAGGATGAAATTCAAGGCTAATAACTTGTAGTCATCCCAAGTAAATTTGGCACAGCGAGAGAGTTTGTTTCACTGTCACAAATGTCTGTAAGCCCAGCGCGTGGTTGTGCTCAAGGTCCTCGCCAGCAAATGGACGTTTTCCTGTACCAAACATGGTTTTGCTTTTTGCATCCGCTAGCATCCTTGCTCGTTTTTCAGATTTGTACGCCTCGTGGCTCGTTCGAGAGAAAAGTCTCTAGATAAGCGCTTAGTGAGATGTTGCTTTGATTTCATACCCTTTTTTATCATTCCTGAGGGGGTGCTCAGTTTTGCAGCGTGTGTTTCGAACAAGGTAGTGTGACGTTCTCTGTGCCGCCTAGTGAACGAATGATGTTTGTAAGCATGAAAATAATTGCTTAGGAACTTTGAAATTATCTCTGATATGACTATAGCTTTTTTTTTCTGGCTACTTGTGCAACTTTGACAAAAATAAGATGCCAAGTGCGTTATAAGGGAACGAAAAAGGCGGTAGAGGATAACCGAGCGCACATCACGTAGCAGCACAGAGACCGCTAACTTGCTGCCGGTCCAAGTCGGTACGAGCGTACAGCACCTCCTAGAGACGCCCCTGCTGCTGCTTTAGCATGCTGCCAGGCCCAAAATAATTAATCCCACTTCTGAGCAGGTGATCACCTTGCATTTGGAGTAACACTAGCAGATCTGAACTGCTTACAGCTTCAGAGCTGGAGCAGAGATCGAGCCTCCAGCCCGAGCATCTCTCTCCTTTCTTCTGGAGGCGGCGTAGGCAGTGGCCTGCCCTTGAATCAGTGCAGGGGAACAGACCTCTTGCACATCACTTCTGAGTTTGATTTTCTGCATCCGTTGAGTTTCTCCGCAGGCTGTCCTAAGACTGAAGACGTGCCCATAAATAGCAAGTCCACTCAGGACGTCTGCTGGCTCTGCTTAGGCCACTGGATGGTTAATTATGCTCCTGTGAAATTAATACCACCAAACAGGTTATTGAATCGATTACAACCTTGCCGTTTTTTGATCCCTTCAGTCGGCTTTAATATGTATGTCTGTTTCTTTGCATAGAGAATGCAGTGTCACAAAGAGTATCTATTTTTCATTATAATTTTAAAGAGATAATCACATGTTACAACTATTCTGTTTGGGTCTGAGCCTACTGCCCTTAATCATCTAAAAAATAATACTTTGCTTCATGAGCAGGCCCAGGCTGATTTACAACTTGAGAAGTAAATTACTACTCAGTAGTAACTTGCTACAATCCAGTTCTATAGAAGTAAATGCAGAATGTTGTTATGCTGGTTCATTGTGTTGAAAGTATATTGCATTAGAATTTTTAATGGAGTTTTTAGTGTAATATATTCCAAATGCCTTCTTTTGACACCTTGGGAGCCAGCTGGATCAGCGGTCTCACTTGCCAGTTGAGGGGCTCTCCACTGCCCACATCATTTTGTTAGCAGCTAAGGTTAAATTTTTAAGGACTTCATTAGTAGTAGGAGCCTCAGCAGAGTGTCTCTGCAATGCACGCAGTTTGAATGAGCTCCAAGGCTTCAGACAGGTGAGGAGGAGAAAACCTTCCCCTGGGTTACTAACCCACTTTTTGTTCTTTCATGTTAATTGGCTGTTCGTTCCTGGGAACACAGATTGCGCCGCTTCTCCTTTACCTCAGCCAATGTCAAATCCCCAAAGAAGCCCTGCCAGCGCAGAAGGGAGCGAGCCATATGGGGCAGGTTGCAGTTGCTCCTTCAGGTCTGGATTTATTCCACTGTGAACAGATGGACAATGGCTGACATCCACTAATGGTTCTCGATAGGTTTCTTCTGCTGTTCATCTCCATCTTCCTTTTCTCTTCAGCCAGAACACAGACCTTCCTAGAAATGGTCTGTTAACTCCTCCTGACTAGATGGAAAATGATACCTCTCATTTCACGAGAACCAGAAAACGCAGAGGATTTAATTCCACCCTGGTTCTTGTGTTTTTAGCACTTGTATGAAGAGGGTGAGATCAAGAAGAAACTATCCCTTAGTCACTTAATACAGATAACATCAGAGGAGAGAGGTTTTTTGTGTTCATCAGTTTGAAGAGAATTTATTCTTCCATTCATTCAGCGCAGTGCAAGCTTTTTCACTTTTGTATGGCTGTTATTTCCAGCATAGAGCTAGTGTAGCCATTCCATTCTGAGAAAGGAGCAATGCGCATTTGGCATTTCAGAAATGACTTTGAATGTTTGACACAGCTGAACTTCTTGTTCATTAAGTGGAACTTTAATCTACGACTTTGATCCTTCGGCAAACCTCCTTTTTAACAGTAGATGAAGGTCCTCTCTTTTATTTCATGCTTGTGATGACCACCATTTCTTAAAGATGAAGTGTTTCCCTTTTGCCAATTACTCTTTTTTCCATTTTCCCCTCAGAATCTGCTGCAAATGTTTCTCAAAAATGGCCTTTCTCTTTCACATCAACCAGAAAGCATTAACTTCCTACAGTGAGAAGTTTCACACAGAGGAAGTTATACATTAAAAAAAAGAAAGAAGCTGTAATTAAAATATGCAATTGCAAAATGAAAGCAGACTGATCTCTATGTGTGTGGTTTATAAGCAAATGCTTTTCAGGATCTGAGCAAAAGAATTAAGGGAAGATTTAAATCCAAACGAAGTCTTCTTCCCAGATTTTAAATAAATGGTGTTGACTTGTTTTGATTACACAATTTAAAGATCTATTTTTAGGATAAAGTTTAAATGTTGGGCCTGCTTTATCCAACCATTCTTTTCTTCTGATATAAATCCCTTTTAGTATCTCGTAATAGCATCTGCTAGATTTACTGTTCACAAAAGTTAAGATACTCCCTTGAAATATAATCTTACATTTTGATTAAAAAATGCACAAAGCTTTAAAAACTGTTACAATGAATGACGCGCGCTTGATAATGAAGCAAAAACATGGATGAAAGAGCCAGCACGCACAGCTATGACAAACTAAGGAAAATTTGTAAGCACAGTCTCAGTATCTAGATATAAGAATGTTGTCAAACCTCATTATTCTCTTTAGAGAGCATTCAGCGAGTGTCTTGGCTCCTTGCTCAGAAGATACAACAGTAAAACTTCCTCTTTCTGTATCTTCAAAGTCACATCTGCTAAAGATATCGTACCCTAATGTATCTAATTTGTGAAAGCCCAAGGTCATGCCCTTATGATCAGACATTCTGAGGGGAATAAAACTTGTACTTAAATTATACATATGGCTGTTAACAGATACATTTAAAACAATGTATTTACTCTTCAGCACATGTGCTCCTCCAGCTGACTCTTAAGAAGCCAAGAAACAGTTTGGGGCCTTTGAAAAATGTCGTCATTCTTAGTGCAAAACACAGAAGACACTCAGCTGTGTAATGTTACTGTTAAAAAAAAAAAATAGTCGCAGTGACAGCAGTGCCAAAATGTGATAAGGGGATGGGGATTGTTACATTTTGTGGAATAGTTCCTTATATTGTAGCTGTGCCAGTCATAATTTAAAAGATGTGAAGATGACTGAAAGTTTGGTGACCCAGAGGCAAGCTGGAGAACATGGGAAGTAAAATGGACAGGGGTGGTGGAAGGTTTGACTGGAGTCAGCTGTTCTGCTCCTGGACTTTCTCACATCCAGGCTAAAACTAGGCCATCGAAAGCCGTCGGGGGAGGAGGACTGAAGGGAGGTGAAAGCAGGGTTGATTTTCTTAAACGGAAAGAGCATTGCATTGAGTTCTGAAGGAAAACTTCCCTTGCTCTTGGGTTATTTCATTTTCTCTTCCATCCTGAGAGTCTTCATAGTTTATTCTCTAGGGCAGGTGCCTCGCGGCAGCTGTCAAAGAGCAGGGTGGAGAGACCTTTTGCCGGGGGAGACGGGGTCAGATAACCTCTCTCCTTCAGCAGGTGCAAATCAGCTTTCCGCTACCGAAAGGAACACAGTTGGCCCCGTTACTAATCGGCTGAGGATCCAGCCCTTGATGTTTTCCCAGGAAACATCAATTTGTGGCGTGTGTGTGCGCGCGCGCCGGGAGGGAAACAAGTCCGGCATTACCTACAGTATGTGTATTTGTTAAGTCTGCATACAATCGGAAAGGAAAAAGAGCAAGCATATGAATCCCTTCATGAAGTAGCGCAGAGAATACCAAACTGCAGTATTAATAACCTCCTGTTATTGAATACTCCATCTGTTCATCATGCCAGCTTATCCTCACTTAGAGCACTCCCCTTGTCATAATATTTTGTACCACACTCCCCTCCCTCCTCGAAGCAGCAGTTCCAGTTTAGAACTAAACATTTGCCCAGTCATGTAACCCCACTGAGGAAATGGTCTCACTGCCTATATCTGTTTATGTTTCTCTATGACAAAATGTAACTGAACTCCAGTTTCATTTCTGAATTTTCATTTTTCACTATTATTTTTTCCCGGAGATACTTCCGTATCCATATTGGTATTCACAGATACTACACTTGCAGTTTAAGCATGTTCTACCCCTAATGCTCATTCCTGTGGATGCGTTGAAGAATAAAAAAAAAAAAAAAAAAAAAAAATCTTACAGCTTTGATATGTATATATTTTTATATTTGCTAACATCTATAAATTGCAATAAAGTGGTTAACCACTTTAAAGTGATTAAAACCAAATTTGTTTATTTATACAAACCCCACATGAGGCGCTTGGCTAGATGCTGCCCTAGTGAGGCACAGCGAGAATCTAAAGAAACTATGTTCTTTGAGGGATGTCTGAGACGTCTGTGCTGAGCCACAAAAGGCTTTCCCATGAATACAGGAGGAAAACGAAAAAAGTCAGAGGTTGCATAAACTCGTCCTGGGAGTTACCTCCCGATCCTGCCAGATAACCCTGTGGAATGGACACTACCTGGGGAATGACGGGGAAAATCAAGTTGTTAGGGAGCCAAGTTGCTAAAGGCTGCCTGTAAGCTAAAGTCCTTTACTTGTGCTCTGAACGGATTCCTGAAATCCACACAACTTGGAAGCTGAACCCAGCTTTTATAACCTTTGGGTTCCAAAATTCCCCTCTCAAAAAAACCCCCCAAAACCCCAAACCGAAAAAACCGAACCAACCAAAAAAAAAAAAAAACCAAAAAAAAAACAGAACAGATAATCTGCTCCTGGTATCAGGCATGTCCCTTATCAAAGTGAATTACTAATGTTTGCTGCCCTAGTGTCCCCGTAACTAGTTGTATTAGCTCCCTGTAATACGCCTGTCGCCACGGGTATTGTAAGTATTGCAGACTGATCCTGCAGAATCCCAAAAAGCTCTTAAAATCCTCGTGCCTACCTGCTCCCTTTCCGTGCGCTCGTTTTTAAACATCACCCCCGGTCCCGCGGTGCCGTCACAGCAGGATGAACTCTCGGATCATCCTGCAAAACGATTTAAAAACGTGCGGGAGGAGGTACCGAAACTTCGCGGAGAAGCCTGGCATGGAGTAAGGCGGCGGCGCGGGCAGGGGCCCGCCGAGCTCGCTCCCCCTCAGCGAGGGCACCCCAAACTCCGCTGGGGCGGCCGGACACCGCACCTCGGCCCGC